AAACAGTACTTCGTACATAAAAAATAGGTTTCAAGTGTTTTTGTCATATGCTTTATAATATAGTATAGATAACATTTTAATAGATTTTTTAACTTTTTTAAAAAAATTGAAAAGAATTACAAATTCATAAAAAATTATATTTAATTCAGACATATAGGTCTATTTTAGAAATTATAATATTAATTATATTATTAAAATATTCAGTATATTTAATAAAATATTATTTATCTCTTATAAGATCAAGATTTTTATTTTATTTTTAGAAATATAATAAAAATTGTTTATTTCTAATGATAATAAATTTTAGGGAGTTCTTCAAATTTGGAGAATTTCACAAATTCTCATTTATTTTTTCATTTTGGAGAACTTGTTGATTGTCGAAGCAAAAAAGATTTCCTAAAATATTTATTTTCTCCGGTTTACAACAGATTTTCCAAAAATGGAGAATCAAAATTCAAAATCTCCTAAAAATTTGCATTCAACTCCAATAACTTTAACATCAATGTTTTTCATTGATAGGAATATAACTTTCATATTTGGAGAACTTCACACCCTCTTTTATGCTTTTTCCATTTTGAAAAGTTTTATAAAATCTGTTAGAACAAAAAATTACCCGATTTTATGTTCAATGCAACGAGATATATTGAATCTGTTAAAACTAAGAGGGTGCTCGCGCAATGAAGCGAGATATATCACGATTTCAATGTTTCATTTTATTTTTTTGGCCTCTGTCGATGTTATAATACAAATTTATGTGGTTTTGAACAAACAATAATATTTTTTTTATAATAAATATAAATTTGAAGATATCATAAAAATTAAAAAAATATAAAAGCTCTCATTTTTTGTGTAATTTTCTTAATTCAATTTTTTTATTATAATTTAATTTAGGTTTAATGGTGAGATAAATTTACTTTTGATTTAATAGTATAACTTTATCAAGATAATAACTAAGTATTCTGTTATAACTCAATAATCATTCTAATTATATTTTAGATTTTATATTTAAAATAAGAATTTTATCATGTATTTGCTTATATCTATTTACAGTTAGTTACAAGAATTCAACACACATAGCTTAATAAGTTGCACTTATGCATAATTACTCGTAATCTTGAATTTTAAATAATATACATCAATAAACAGTACTTCATACAAAAAAATGACTTTTAAGAGTTTTTGTCAAATACTTTATAATATATTATAAATTAATATACTAACATCCTATGTTGTTACGTACACTTCTCATTTCGTTTTTATTAGAAAACATTATATATATATATATATATATATATATATATATATATATATTAAAGTATACATAAACAATTATTGCTATACATCGTATTTATGTTAATACCATGTGAATATGTTAAGAACGCCCAATAGCAGATCTTAAATAATAATAATAAATAAATAATAATTAAAAATGTTGCCAAAAATATGACAATTTTAAGGATGTGAGTCAAAAATAAATATTATTTTAATTCGTATAGAATTTTGTTATTTTTCAAATCCTTTCGACTTTTTTTATTTATGGAAAATAGAAAAGTTCAAAAAAAAAAAACTAGTCTTAAAATTTATTGAATTTTATTTTTAACTTTTATAACGATATATAAAAGTCTTAAAAACCATAATAAAAAAAACAGTTGTAACCACAAGGATGACGTTTGATTGGTTTGAGATTGACTTCAAATATCAAAAGTATCAGGAGGTCACAGGTTCAAATACAAGGAGAAATAAAAATCCCCTTGTGGCCACGGAGGTTCAAATGCGATGACTCCGGACTATCTGCAAAACATATAATCTTCCTGGAATTAGTTGACTCGTATAGCGGGTTGAATATCAATGTTAATAAGAAAACAATTGTTTTTATTTCATAACCAGATCTTAAAAACCACAACAAAAAGCAGTTGTTTTATTTTCGTAACCATGATATTGATATCTTTTGGTTAGTTTTAGTTCACGTGATTCATAAATACTAAAAAAAGACAAATATTCTTATTTTGAAACCAAAAATGTGATCCCTAACATATATCAAACACGACTCTTTTACACACACACATACACACACACACATATATATATATATATATATATATATTTGTAAGAGTGTCCGGGCTAAAGCCCGACTAATCCCCTCCAATTTTTGGAGGCTAAACATGGCCCCACTTAAATGTCGCCAACACTCCCCTTTCAGGGTTCGAACTTGGGTTCATGACTATGTCATGCCCAAGCCTTTTACCACTAGACTGGAAGGTCTTTGACACAAATTATGTTAGTCAAAACATACTTTCCTGAAATTAATTATTATAATATACATCTAAAATTCATCAAAATGTAACGAGAGTTATTTTGATTCATCTTCAGAATTACGCTTAATTTTTTCCTTGAATAGTGCAATAAATGTTTAATCCTTCTTGTTTCTTTAATTACCGACAATGTCGATGTTACAATTTTTTAATTATATTGTAAATCTTGATTACGTAAAAAATGTCAAATCAATATCATCTGCAACGATGCCAATAGTTATGATATACTGTGTGTTTGAGATTGCTTATTTAAAATAACTTATGTTTTTTTTGTAAAAGTGTTTATTAACTTATGTGGTAAACTGGAGTTAAATAAAACATGGTTAAAATTGTAAATTGGTAATAAACAGTTTTTTCATAAGTCATGAAAGATTAACTTATCAAAAGCAGTTTATTACCGGTTTGACACCGGTATAAAAAGTTTTTTTTTCTTATCCAAACACCAAAAAACAACTTATCACCGGTGCCAGACTGAAATAAGTTAAAAAACAGTTTTTATAAGCAATCCCAAACACCCCCGTAATATGAAAATCTTTAAATTTAGAGAAATCTCTAAAACTTTATATACAAAAGAGAAATAATATTTTATTTATTATCCACCGATAAGAGGTATTGAAAACAAATGTTTATAAGAGAGAAATGATATTTTATTAAATGTATAAAATATTTTAATAATATAGTTGATGTTATCTATACTATATTATAAAACATTTGACAAAAACTTTTAAAAACCATTTTTTATGCGTAAAACACAGTTTAATAATGCATATTATTTAAAACTTAAGATTGCAAGTAGATTGTGCGTAGATACAATTTATTAAAGCTCCATATCTGAATTCGTGTAACTAACTGCTAATAAACATAATCAAATATAAGATAAACATCTCATTTTAAATATAAAAAAATCTAAAATATAATTAGAATAATCATTCAGTTCTAACAGAATATTTAATTATTATCTTTATAAAATTTATATTATTAAATCAAAAATAAATTATTTTATTATTAAACTTAAATTAAATTACAATAAAAAAATAAATTAAAAAAACTACATAAAAAATGAAAAATTTTAAATAGTTGATTTGATATTAACATTGATATATATTTTTTTCAAATTTTTATGATATCTTCAAATTTATATTTTATTCAAAAATAAAATCATTATTACTTCCTTAATAACACATAAAATTGTATTAGAACATCGACAGAGACAAATAATAAATAAAACATTAAAATCGAAATATGTCTCGCTGAATTGCACGAATACTCTTTTAGTAATTGTTAAAATAGAATAACTGTTGGAATTAAAATATAAGTTTTTAAATATTTTGACATTTAATACTCTATTTAAAAAAAATTATAACTTGGCTGTTATTATACGAATCAAGAGAAACTTCTTTCATCTCGTAAAATGAGAAATCAGATATTTATTTTAAAAAATAAACTAAAAATTATTTAATTTATTCTGTATTTATTATTTTTATAAATTATTATTATAATTTATTTTTATATTTTTAATATATGAATTGATTTGAAGGGCATATATGGATTAAAAATGGCTTTTTACCTAATAAGCTGAACGTGTTCAAAAGGGTCCCACGGGTCAAAAGCGTCCGCACTAACAACCGTTGAGTAGACTCTTCCACCTGCAGGCTGCAGCCGTCCTTCCATTCAACAAAATCTCGCTTTCCCAAAATCGATACTATTCCTCTTTCCTTCCACAGGCTAGCAATTTGCTCTCAATTCCACCTCAAACTGCCACAAATGGTAAGAATTCAAACCTGCACTTGATTTCTTGATTGAATATCGCTGATTGTTTACTGGAATCGGTTTTTATTTTGCATTTCTTCTTGTTTTATCGTGTTTTGTCTACTAATGCATCTGATTTGAATGTTAAACCATAATCAAGGCTAGATAATTTGTAAATTCAGATCACGTTACAGTTTTTTCTCGGTTACGTTTGGTTTGAACTTGTTAATGTTGTTCGCCTCGTTCTTCCGCCATATGTCTAGGCCTGTAGATTGATTATTTTGTCTACTAATGCGTCTGATTTGAATGTTAAACCATAATCAAGGCTTGATAAATTCAATTATTTTAGTTAATTTGAAAATTGAGATCATCTTACCGTTTTTTCAAGCTTACTTCTGATTTAAACTTGCTAATGTTGTTCGCCTCGTTCTTCCGCCATATATCTAGGCCTGTAGATTGATATTTGTTCGATTTCAAATTTGTTTCGGACCGATTATGTATCATCTGATTATATATATGATACGGTTAATCTATTCAGTTGCATCTCTCATTCAAGCAGTGTATATAATAAGTTCGTCGAATCATTAGTTACGATGTTTTAAATTGTTATTTGATGACGAAAAAGAGGTGGAATCCTTGATGAGCAACGTCAATTAGTCAGTTGATTGTTATCTTTAAAAAGTCATTTCAGTTTAGATTTCCAAATCTAGGAATGTTGCAATTAATGCGTGCAGAGGGAGGGAGGTTGTCACAGTATCATTATATTTGCTTTTACTCAAAAGTATTTATCTGATGCACAAATTGCCCCTTTAACAGCCTTACTACCAGAAAAAAGCAACCGCAGCAGGAGCAAATTCAGTGCGCAGATGAAAAGGCAAGTGCACATAGGATATTCTCATAATCAAGCCGCTGGAACGATTTCGATTTACTTCAACGAGGATGAATAAATCAGTAGAGATGGCATGTGTTCTTATCAATCTTGCCATAATTTTACTTGCAGTAAATAGATCAGAGGGGGTTCCTAGAAACCAGATCATCTATTCTTTATGTAATAATCAGTCAGAGATCAATCAAACAGAGTTCAGCTTGAACTTTATCCAAACAACCGAAAAGATTGGCACACAAATACAAAATTCGCGTTTTGGAACAGCAAATTCAGGCACAGGGCCTGATAGTAATTATGGACTTGTTCAATGCTATGGTGATCTTTCTACAAACGACTGCATCTTATGTTATGACTCGGCACATTATTTTCTTCCCAGGTGCTTTCCTAATAATGGTGCTAGAGCTTATCTCGATGGTTGCTTTATGCGATTCCAGAACTATAGCTTCTTTGAGGAGTATGCTGGACCTAATGACATTGCTATTTGTGGAAATACCACAAGGAAGAGTAGCGTGTTTCAGACTTCAGCAAGGCAAGCTGTGCAAAACGCTGTGAGGGATGCATCAACAAATGGTGAATACTTTGCAAGGGAAGAAGTAAAACCCACTGGGACCGTAAATGAGTCAGCCTATGTGTTGGCGGAATGCTGGAGGACATTGAATGCAAGTTCTTGTAGGACTTGTTTAGAGAGTGCATCTGTATCAATATTGGATTGCTTGCCTTGGTCTGAGGGGCGTGCATTGAACACGGGATGTTTCATGAGGTATTCTGATATCAATTTTCTCAATCCTGAGCCAACCAGAAGCAGAAATAGAGGTAAAAATGAGTTGATCTTCACAAAATTGATAATTAGAGGAACTTGATACCATTGTTCAACTTGATACCAATGTTGGAATACTTGTACACAAATGAGGATGGTAGAAACTTCATCAGTTATGCAGTTTCATACGAACGAGTACTAGAGATTGTTTACTGCTCCACGATGTGCTAATTTTAGTAATTGTTTTTGCAGGGAGGATGATAGCTATTATTGCAGCTGTTGGTAGTTCTATGTTGATTCTTGTGGTTGTGTTGTTGATTGCTTTATATATCTGGAGACAGAGACGTATACAGAAGAAGAGAACAGGTACAGACCCATTTAGAAACAATCTTGACTTGGTTTTGAGTTACAGAGAACAAAGCATGCTTTAGTCCTACAGAATGATACGAACCATATTAGAATCTAGAAATGAAGAATCACACAAGTAATCTGCCGAAATCGTTAACTTCACTAATGATAATGTCCCAGGTTCTTATGATGCCAAGAAACTGGCGAAGATTCTTACAGACAGTAGCTTGAACTTCAAATACTCCACTATTGAGAAAGCCACAGGCTGTTGGGATGATGCCAATAAGCTTGGGCAAGGAGGGTTCGGGACCGTCTACAAGGTAGTACCTTATGACACTACATTATTTACGTCAGCTTTTTTTCAACATAAAATTCAACAGTTCTTGTATTGACTTCAGCTATAACGTACTAATTTTAACCACTTTATCCTACTGATGCATCTGGAAATTTGTCAGGGAACTCTTCCAGATGGAAGAGAGATTGCTGTCAAGAGGCTTTTCTTGAACAACAAATTCAGAGCAGCAGATTTCTATAATGAAGTTAACATGATCAGCAGTGTTGAACACAAAAACCTAGTCAGGCTGTTAGGATGCAGCTGTTCAGGGCCTGAAAGTTTTCTTGTATATGAGTTTATGCCCAACATGAGCCTCGATCACTTCATCTTTGGTAAACACAAGAATTTAGAATAATTGTCAAAGGACTCAAAAACTAGATTTAGGTCATGTTTGGCAACCATAAGCTAGCTTTTTTTCTTTGAAAAAGCCCTGTTTGGTTAGCCATAAGCTAGCTTTTTGAAGCACTAGTTTAAATAGCGTTTCTACCATGGATTTTTGTAACACGTCCTTTTGGGTCATTTTCTATCATCATCTAGCTTATCAACTAGTTTGCCAAACATAGCCTTGAGTAAACATCATGCCTACTACTTCATCTATCCTTCAGACTGTATCTTCTCATCGAGACATATGTATTCATGAAATTGATGGAATTGACCTTATGAACTAAAACATTAGCTGAATTTATGAACTATTGCAGATGCAATAAAAGGTAAGGAACTAAACTGGGAAAAGAGATTTGAGATCATCATTGGCACAACCGAAGGTCTGGTCTACCTTCATGAAAATACCAAGATTCGGATCATTCACAGGGATATTAAAGCTGCCAATATCCTGTTGGACTCAAGGCTTCGCGCTAAGATAGCTGATTTTGGTTTGGCCAGATCTTTTCAAGGAGATATGAGTCATATCAGCACTGTCGTTGCAGGAACTCTGTAAGTGCCCGTCTTTCGTGGCTTTATTTTACCTTTGTGAAGCCCTTCTCTATTGCTGAAGGTAGGGTTGCACATAGGTTGAGTTGGCCATGTTGAAGGCATTTGAACAACCCAACCCAATGTTTCGCTTTGAAAAATCTCAACCCAACCCAAACCATGCGGGTTGGGTTGGTCTGGTTGAAACTTACGTCATTCTAGAATCTAGCTAAGCGTTTTGTTTAAACGAAGTAAAATCAAAATGAGAACATATAAAAAAGTTTAACGAACTCCAAAAAAAGTTTGAAATTTCATGCAAATAAGAACCTAAAATTACAGTTAAAATTGTAATATAATTTTGAATATAGCTAATCACGGGTTGGTCTAATGTACATATATTAATAAAGGACTTGACATTCACATTAAACCCGTAGTACGGAAAGGTATCGGGTTCATCGGGTTGGGTTGGGTTCAAATTACCCTAACCCAATTCCAATCCAATAGATCCGGTTCGGCCTAATTTTGTATCAATTATGTGTCAGGTTACCTTGGGTTGAGTTTTTTTGGGTTTTTCCGGGTTGGTCTGTTTTGAGCATCCCTAGCTTGAAGGGATCAAGGGATGCTTTATTCACATTATCTTCAAATATACTTTGAATTAGCCAAAATGAACAAAGAATCTTATACAATTACCCATTTAATTTTCCCAGTGGATATATGGCTCCAGAGTACTTGGCACTTGGTCAGTTAACAGAAAAGGCAGATGTGTACAGCTATGGTGTTCTGTTGCTGGAGGTAGTTACTGGAATTCAAAACAACAGAAGCAAAAATTCAGAATACTCGGAGAGCTTAGCATCGATTGTAAGTATAAAACTTCATCTGATCTTTGATATTTTTATATGAGTCTGTGTGGTTTGTTTTGGTTCAGGTTTGGCTAGAACCACAAACTGAACCATGAGGGTCCTCGAATGGAACCAACCCAAATCATTTCGGTTTACAATTTTTTTTAAAATTTTTTTTGCAAATAAAGATTTCAACAAAGCAAAGAAAGTTAAACAAAGTGAAATTTTCAAAAACAAAAACAAACTAAATGTGCCCACCTTCCATTTGCTAAAGGTTTGGACTATTAGCGGCTTTAAATGTAAATATTTGCTACCTAGAATTGTTGATGTTACAATTTACTTTCCACCAAATACTACTCCCGTACCAAAATAAGAATTCACATTTCTATTTTACTTTAGGAAAAAATTCATAAAACCCAATGAACTATTCCATTTTGAATGATCAAGTCCCTGAACTATCCCATTTTGAATGAAAAAACTATTTTAACTTTCTCATTTTGAATAATCAAGTCCCGGAACATTTTTTTGTAGTAAATAAACCAAAGAATTGATTACCTGCATCCTCTTAACAAATAGAAAGGTCTTAAAGTAAAAAGAATATAAATCAATTTTACCGTTTCCAAAACCTAAGTCCTCCAAACCCCTTGCAAACAACGGTATCACTCCCTCTCGCCACTCCTTGTTGCCCCATCATTGTCAGTTCTTTATATCGGCTAGCACATTGTTGAACTCTGTCATCGATCTCCCACTTTTTGATCTAATTTTAGGGGGTTATAAGTAGTTTTACTTAAGACATTTCTAGTCGGTTACATGTAGTTTTTTTAGGTTAAAGTGTTGTCTTAAAGTTTGTTAAAAAGTGTAATAATTACACATTTTTAAAACTATGTTCCTTTTCGTTGTACTTATTTATTTTGGGAAGGAAGAAGTATATGAGTAACGAATACATTCCATCTAAAATGAATCAATGACCATATATTTGCAATTAGATAATGGACCATCAATTCTTATGGTAACAGCTATAGAAACTTCAATTAATATAAATACTTTTTTCAATTTGTTGGGTTTGATTTGATTCCGTTAAGAACTAGAACCCATGAACCGAACCAATCAGCTTGAATCCTCTCAAAATCTAACTGAACTAATCAATTCGGTTCAACGTACCTGTTTAGTGTTATGGCTTCTAATGCTTCTTCAAAGCAACCAATCATATAAATTCAAGAGTAAATTACGATTTTCATCCCTATGGTTTGTTAATAATGGTAATTTTCGTCTCTATGGTTTAGAAATTGCGATTTTAGTCCATTTGATTTGCAATTTATTGTTATTTCTAGTCCGGTGGTTTAAAAATTGCAATTCTTGTCCCCATGATTTGCAATTATTGCTATTTGTCCTTGTGGTTTGTTAATAATTGCATTTTTTGTCCCGTGGTTTAGAAATTGCAATTTTTGTCCCTATGATTTGCAATTATTGCTATTTTGTCCCAGTGGCTTGTTAATAATATGATACTCGTCTATGTGGTTTATAAATTGTGATTTTCGTCCCTATGATTTGCAATTATTGCTACTTTTGTCCATGTCGTTTGTTAATAATTGCAATTTTTGATTTTTCGTCTATGTGGTTTAGAAATTGCCATTTTCATCCCCACGATTTGCAATTATTGTTGTTTTCGTCCATGTGGTTTAATTGTGATTTTCGTCCTTGTGGTTTAGAAGTTGCGATTTTCGTCTCTATGATTTGCAATTTATTGCTATTTTCGTCCGTGGACTAATTTCTTATCTTTAAGTACAAGCGATCAAAATTGTAAAGAATTGTAAACCAAAGCGAAATAAAACAACACTTAATTATTTGTAAATCTTAAGGACGAAAGTAGCAATGAATTATAAACCATAGAGATAAAAACTGTGATTTCTAAACCACATGGAAAAACACAATTTTTAACAAACCACAAGAACGAAAAATACTTTAAATTCAATTTGATTCTAACATTATACATTGATGGTCTCTTGTTGAAATAGGCATGGAAGCATTTCCAGGAAGGTACAGTGGAGGAAATCCTGGATCCAAACTTAATGTTTCACACTTATCCGAACCGCAATTTCAAAAAAGATGCCATAAAAGTGGTACATATAGGACTCCTTTGCACCCAAGAAGCTCCATCTTTACGACCATCCATATCCATGGCACTAAAAATGCTAGTAAAAGATGATGAACCCTTACCACCACCCTCTAATCCCCCATTTATCAATGATTACAAAATCAATGAGTTGGATGAGAAGCTACCGCTTTACCATGATGACGATGATTTAGGCTCGGTTGCAACTGTTTCCCACAGTCATTTCTACCCGAGGTAACACACTAATGCTTCCTAGTTTCCAACCATCATATAGCGTTATCTCATCCTCCATTGTTCAAGATTTAGGAAAACGGAACCAACCATCATATAGCGTTATCTCATCCTGCCTAAGATCTAGGAAAACTGAACCAACCATCGTATAGCATTATCTCATCCTGCCGTTTGTTTAAGATTTAGTAAAACCGAAGAGTATCACAGTAGCGAGTTCAGGGTAAGTTTCGTATCTATCTGAAGAAGTGTGTGTAGAAAGAAGTTATGAAAATGGATTTTTAGGTTCCTTGGGGCACAAGAAATGGGATGAATTTGGAATGATTACAGGTGAAAAGGAGGTCCAGGAACTAGAAGAAGGTAGTTACTAATTTGTAAGTTGTAAGTTGTAAGTTTGTATATCAAGCAAATTTTGATCCTTGTAAATTTATTGATTGTCCTGTAATTATATACTCCATCCGCCCCCACAAGTTTACTAAATGAGCATGGCAAGGGTCAATAATCTTATCCAGTATGAGCGATGATAAGGATGAGAAGTCTTACCTGGTAAGTGGGGTGATGACTCTTACCTGCTAAGTGCTTATCGGGTAAATTGTAGCATACGATACTGTTTTGAAGGACTACAATCTTACCTGGTAAAATAAGTGTTTTATTCTTACTAGTAAGCGTTTACCGGGTAGGTAAACGGCCCCTAAGTGTCCACATGTCTGTTTTATTTTGTCCCAAAATAAATGTCCATTTTCAAAAGTAAAGGGTCGTTTACCAAAAACCTACTAGGAGTCACTTACCTTTTGGGTGAGAGCTAGAATTTTACCGGGTAAAAATGAAACCAAAATTTACCCTGCTGCTTATTTTGGGTATCAACTTATAAATTTCTTATTTGTAGGGAAACAAAAGGAAACTTGCCTTGTTTCCTATTTGGGAACATGAATTTGGTGATTGAGTCTCTTAAATGCGAAGTTTTAGAAGTTTTTAGTTTTATTTAATTTACCAAAAGTAAAGAACAGTTTATACTTTAAGCCTTTAGTCTTGGCATTCACCGAAGGAGGCCAACGGACTTCTGGAGAAGTCTTGTTTAAGCTGCCAAAATTATAAAGGGTAATACAACACTACAATTTGGTCATAATGATGATATAAATGAAGTATTACTGATTTATATTTGCTTAATTGTAAAAACGTATAAATGCAAGTTTTGATGGTTAAAACATTTGAAGAAAAAAAAAGGGTCGACTCCTCTCAAAAAAATATGTAAGGGTCGATTAGAGAAGGTCATATCAGTCCCAAAAAAACCAGGTTCGTTAAAGCTTGGTTAAAGGCATTTGGAAAAAGTCTGATCCCGTCCTCAACGATCTCGATTTGGCACCGTATAGCCATAATGTAGACAAGTAAGTCAGGATAGGGCAAACGTAAACAAGCAGGAGAAGATACGCATTTCAGGAAAATTAACATGGTTAATAAGTGGCAGTAGTTTGTATCATAATCTTTGAATTATTGTAGTTTGTAATTAAATACAATTTAGTTGGGAGAATATACATTCATGCATGAAAGCTATTTTAATCGTCATAAAAATGCTGCCCAGGAAGACCACCACCCATTACGGCTAACTGCATGTTTTCCGGTGGTTTCCAATGCCTCTTCCTTTGATTTATAAACCAGTTGTTGATTTGCTTCGGATCTAATCCTGTCGTTTCCGCCAAAGATATCTTATCACCTTCCTACATTTACATTTAAAATTTATTATTTCTTTCTCCCCCATTAAAGAAGAAACAAATTAACAAAACCCAGTAAAATGTCGATTACCAACAGTCCCAACCGACTACACACGGAGAGCAACATAAAGGGCATTTTTTGGTCTCAATTAGCAGTTAAGGCTAGCCCGCCTAGATGAAGAGGATCGAACCTGGACATGTTTTGTGTTTGGACAAAGTTATAGTTCTTTGCCAACTAAGCTAGCCATTAAGGTCCCTAGATACTAATCTTTATCTCATATACTCCTCCATCCACAAAATAAAGTTTTAAAATTTGAGTCGTCCAAAAACATAACGTTCCTTAAAATAATTATTCAAATTTAACCATGTTAGTATTTAGAGTAAATTACACTCCTGGTCCCTGTGGTTTACTGATTGTATGACTAAGGTCCCTTAAACACGTTTATTACATTAATGGTCCCCGTGGTATGTAAAAACACACGTTCTGAGTCCCTCCCTCTAACAGAATCAAAAAGATTCCATCGACTCAGTTAATTGAAGGGTTATTTCTGTCTTCTTAACATTTTTTTTCTTTTACCCGAAGGATAAATTTTTTTAATTCTCTCTAATAATATAATATATACCTTTTTTTTTAATATAAATTAGTTTTTCTTTTCTTAACCCGCCCACCCACCCTTTGACCCTCACCCCAAAATCTACTCCATCACTGTTCTTCCTCTCCGGCTGAAAAACCGCCGGCACTCCACCATACTCCAAACCTACCAACCTTTCGTTTTCACCTACATCAAACACATTAATTCCCATACCACCCCCATAGAGGCCCATCTTACCAACGGCCTACCTCATCCCCATCCAACACTGTTTCTTCTTCCCCCGGCTAAAAGATCAACGGCACAACGGACCCAAAACCTACCGACTTTCCGTTCTCACCCACATTACACACATTAACTCCCAGCCCATTCCCACCAAGACCCATCTTACCGTCATTAACAGATTTCGTTAGAGGAAGGGACTCAGACCGTGCGCATTTACATACCACAGGGACAGGCAATGTAATAACGTGTTTAGGGGACCGTAGTAGAGAAAACCAAACCACAGGGACCAGGAATGTAATTTACTCTAGTATTTATTATGAAATATCGATAAGATTGACTATGATCTATCTATTTTCTAAGTTTCGTAATAGTTAATTAAAAGACTTTTTATAAAACAGTGTAAAAAATCAAATGTGGTAATTTTTACTGGATGGATAGAGTACATAAAAGAAATACTAATCGTGCCATGGCTAATTACGGGATACCCAACTAATTATAGTTGAAGGCTCAATAACTTCAATCATCTAATACCTTAAATGAGTTTTCAATTATAAGCATGATCTTCTAATATTGACCTTTATCTGATTTGCTCTTAACTCAAAATAGCCGGCGCCTAATTAAAACAATATGTTCCTATAAAAACTTAGAAATACACTAGACGGTCATTTTGCAAAAGAGGCCCTCTAGAGAAGGTTATTGAGCTAAATGACCCTAAGTTATGGCACAAACTCTTCTTTCCTTTCTGCCGATTAAAAGCAAGTCTTGAGGCAACTTTAATTAACATGTCAGCGGAGCAGCTTTTGCGAATTGCTGACGACGAAACATTAGTTGCATGAATGCCAACAAACCGTAAGGAAAACAAGGAGCATGTAAGGGTCATATATATATATATATATATATATATATATATATATATATATTACTTACAGTAGGGTAAGGCCATTTATAATGTGAATTCCACCATTCAAGTAATGTTTGCCTTGCCTCCTTTGGGAGTTTCCCTTTCTTCTTTTTCTTAGTAAACTCCTGCTTCAGGGAACCTATACGACCTCCAAATTTGCGCAACAGCGTGTCCTTCAGCTCCTGGCTCATCTGTGCGTTGTCCGTCTCTCCACCACTAAATTCTTCTTCTGATGAAATGGTAACTTCATCTGAACCATCAATTAGATATCACTTAAACGGACTTCATACCATATTCATTTAGCAAGATTCATGTTGCATATGCAAATCTACAATGCCTAATTTCTGCTGTTGCATGATTCATTATTAGCTATATTCAATATATGACAATAAATTTTCTCCAAAGGATGTACTATTAAATAAATGTGCTAGGTGATTATTGGTGGGTCCAAAATAGCCATGTTAAGCACACTAGCACACTTTAATTAACCTCGTTTTAACTCAAATAAAATTTAATTTTTATACATTTTTGTTTTAATTGGTTGAAAATTTAACAATTTAAAAAGTTTGTAAAACTAAATACTAAAAAATTGTGTTAGGTGCAATAAAATATAAAACTATAAATTTAACTAATTTACTAAAACTAATTAGTATACATAAAAAAATATTATAGTTACATAAAATATATAAATATAAGTTTAACTAATTATTTAAACTAATAAATATACACAAAAATGACTATGTTTGGATGATAAATTAATAAATATATATGTCAAATATACAAGTGTTATTATTTAACACTGACAAGACGATTAGTGCTATTTTTGTGAAAAATGTAAATTGAAGTACTAAAATTTAGGACTAGTGTTATAGTCAACACTTTCTATCGTATATGGTCCAATAGTTCCTGATATAAGGTAAACTTTAATGGTCGTACTAAGATGCTATACACAAACAAACAACTTGAAGCCCTAGCATGTGATCATATATGTGTGTTGTGTGATAATGTTAATACCTCATTATCATGCAAGCTTCAGCATACCATCAGTGTAATAATAGAGTTATCAATATATATTGATCATATATTCATATAATCTAATTTTACAAATTTCTCAGTTCACTGGCTCCGAGTAAAATCGGATATTACTTCACATAGAAATTAGTTTAACAAAAAATCTCTCTCTCACACATACACATATACACACACACACACACACATATATATATATATACACACACACACACACACACACATATATATATATATACACACACACACACACACACACATATATATATATATACACACACACACACACACACGTAGGATTGGTTTCCAGTGAGGATAAGAGTTATGATGAGAAAGATAAAGTTGGAATCTTCACATTTGCATCAATCCTAATTGAATAGTTCCACTAGATCAACAATATTAAGAAACCCTAGATAAATACCTTTCTAAAACACAATTTATGGTTAGTTTGAAATTAAAAGTAACCAGGGTCCCAATCCTTTCTTACATTACTTACCTTTCTCACCTTAACTCTTATTCTCACACTAATCTTCGTGTATGTGTGTATATATATATATATATATATATATATATATATATATATATA